TGGAGTTAAAGTTATGTCATAAATCTGGCATACATTGGCAGGGTTTTGAGGCTCATTCATGAATTTTTGGGGGGGATCATCTATCTTTAAAGTGGTTAGTGGCTCGCTGAACACTGAGTCATACTGCAATTTCAGTATCTCGCTCATTTCTTTGTTGTCGTCAGTGTAGGATCCATCTTGTCTGAGCAGGGGCCCTATACTAGAAGTGGTTTTTGACTTGTTTTTGGCGTATGAAAAGAAATATTTCGATTTTTTTTCAATTTCATTAATCGCTTTTTGCTCCTCTTGTCTCTCCTGGATCCTGTATGCGTCCTTTAACTTCAGCTCAATATTTTCCACTTCCCTGGCTAGCACTACCTTCCGTGTATCAGATAATCTGGCATTCTTGAGGAGCTCAATGGTTCTTCGTCTTCTCCTGTAGATCGAGCATCTCTCTCTCTCCAGTTTACTTTTTCTTCTTTTGTCTTATAGGAATATACCTTGAACATATTCAGTCAGGAGGGTGTTTTTCGAGGGGTTGGGCCCATGTAATTAAGATATCCCCCCCGAGTTTATTTGGGCATAGTTTCCCTACCCCGATGTTTTCTTTTTGTTAAAGTTGAATTTGGTAAAGGACCCCAAAACTGAAGCATGTGCCGCAGGACCCCTGTGCATGAAGTCTGGTTTCGATTAGTTTGTGTCAGTTTTTGTTTTTTTTTGATATTGTTAATTCCTTTCCAGGCCCTCTTTTTTTTGTGAAAATAAGGTCCAGGGTTTTCTCCGTCTTGTTGGCTCCCTATTTGCTGATTAGGGGTGTTTGTTGCAAAAAATTCAGAGCTCTTGTGTGGTGACTTTTATCTGCTACCCCCGGGGGATTATTTCTGTCCTTTTTGGGTTTATTTTCCTTTTTGTTTCTTAGACTGAAGTCCCCAAGCGAAAGTTGTTTGGGGAGGGGTGGAAGTTGCCCAGAGAGGAGTCGTTTTTGAAGTTTTTCTTTGAATTTTTGGGGAAGTTGCATCCGGTGCTTAATACAAGACAAAAATTGTTTTTTGGTTCTCGATTTTTATTGTCAGAATTCAACTAATCATTTTGGGGTTCAGTTCTCTGTGCAAATGGCGATTCTTTGACTACAGGCCCAACCCCCCCCTTGTTGCGTTTTTTTTTTGTCGCATCTGAAAAGTTTACCGGTTCCATATTTTTCCCGTCAAATTAAATTTTTTTTTATGGGTCTTGTGAAGGCTGCAAAAAAATGAATTTTTTCTTCTCTAGAAATCCTATGAAAGGTATTTGTTGTTTTTGGATGCTTAAGGCCCTGTATATTTGCAAATATAAATGAGGTTGCGTTGCTTTTTGTTGGGGGGATTTTGTTGTTGGGATCAGCGTTGTGAGCCCGGGGGGCCACTGGGTGTGCCTCCGTCCAAAAAGGCCCCAAAGGGGGTGGACTATGCTGGGTTTTTCCCGGGGAACCCGGGTACCCTTTTGTATTGCGACATCGTGGGGTGGGAAAAGCCTGGGTGGGGGGGCGGGGGGGGAAGGGAGGGGAGGTGAGGTAGTGGAAAAACGAACGGGAGTCGGTAATTTGGTGGGCGTTTAAACCCGCAACATCCTTTGGAAAGGCAGGCACAGGCTAGAAGAAAATGGGAGACACCCGGGATGGGGGGTGAGGGAGGTGGTATATCTGTTTACTAAAGGTGCACATCACTGGTAGTATTATTTCCTTTTAGAATCACCCTCGCCATTTTTACAATATTACAAATGTTCTTATAGTAAAAAGTGTCTCGGTTGGAAAGCGGTAATAGGAAGGCCCGGGGGGCCCCTCTCCCCAACCCGTGGCTACAGGTGGTGAGGGTAAACAGACCTCCCACATCAGCTGGCTACCCTCACCAACAACACTGCACCCTCGTGCATACTGAATTTTCACTAATACAGAAACAATGGTCTGATGCAGAAAAATCTCACTACAGGAAGTCCTCACTTAACGCCCATTTCCGTTCAAATTCGTTTTGTTATAACGCTGATGAGGAAAAAGAAAAAATTTCCGGCCAGGAATGGAAAATATGGAAAGATTTTTATACATGTGGAGGAAGACATGCATCAGCTTAACCCTCCATGTTCGCTCATGCTCATTTCTTCCCATATGGCTGCTGTTTGTATTCGGTTTTTATAATATGAATGTATGGTACATAATTCTAAAAAAATATATGATACCTAAAATGATAAAAATGCGACTTTATAGCGCCCCAGAGCGACATTCTCCATACTCATGGTGTCTGCAGCACTACTGCCCTTCCTCTCGGTGTCTGCAGCACTACTGCCCTTCCTCTCGGTGTCTGCACCACTACTGCCCTTCCTCTCGGTGTCTGCAGTACTACTGCCCTTCCTCTCGGTGTCTGAACCACTACTGCCCTTCCTCTCGTGGTCTGCAGCACAAACTGCCCTTCCTCTCGGTGTCTGCACCACTACTGCCCTTCCTCTCGGTGTCTGCACCACTACTGCCCTTCCTCTCGGTGTCTGCAGTACTACTGCCCTTCCTCTCGGTGTCTGCAGTACTACTGCCCTTCCTCTCGGTGTCTGCAGTCACTACTGCCCTTCCTCTGGGTTTCTGCACCACTACTGCCCTTCCTCTCGGTGTCTGCAGTACTACTGCCCTTCCTCTCGGTGTCTGCAGTACTACTACTGCCCTTCCTCTCGGTGTCTGCAGCACTACTGCCCTTCCTCTCGGTGTCTGCACCACTACTGCCCTTCCTCTCGGTGTCTGCAGCACTACTGCCCTTCCTCTCGGTGTCTGCAGCACTACTGCCCTTCCTCTCGGTGTCTGCAGTACTACTGCCCTTCCTCTCGGTGTCTGCAGCACTACTGCCCTTCCTCTCGGTGTCTGCAGCACTACTGCCCTTCCTCTCGGTGTCTGCACCACTACTGCCCTTCCTCTCGGTGTCTGCACCACTACTGCCCTTCCTCTCGGTGTCTGCACCACTACTGCCCTTCCTCTCGGTGTCTGCAGCACTACTGCCCTTCCTCTCGGTGTCTGCAGTACTACTGCCCTTCCTCTCTGTGTCTGCAGCACTACTGCCCTTTCCACTCGGTGTCTGCAGTACTACTGCCCTTCCTCTCGGTGTCTGCAGCACTACTGCCCTTCCTCTCGGTGTCTGCACCACTACTGCCCTTCCTCTCGGTGTCTGCAGCACTACTGCCCTTCCTCTCGGTGTCCTGCAGCACTACTGCCCTTCCCTCGGTGTCTGCAGCACTACTGCCCTTCCTCTCGGTGTCTGCACCACTTCTGCCCTTCCTCTCGGTGTCTGCAGCACTACTGCCCTTCCTCTCGGTGTCTGCAGCACTACTGCCCTTCCTCTCGGTGTCTGCAGCACTACTGCCCTTCCTCTCGGTGTCTGCACCACTTCTGCCCTTCCTCTCGGTGTCTGCAGCACTACTGCCCTTCCTCTCGGTGTCTGCACCACTACTGCCCTTCCTCTCGGTGTCTGCAGCACTATTGCCCTTCCTCTCGGTGTCTGCAGCACTACTGCGCCCTTCCTCTCGGTGTCTGCACCACTTTCTGCCCTTCCTCTCGTGTCTGCACCACTTCTGCCCTTCCTCTCGGTGTCTGCACCACTTCTGCCCTTCCTCTCGGTGTCTGCAGCACTACTGCCCTTCCTCTCGGTGTCTGCACCACTTCTGCCCTTCCTCTCGGTGTCTGCACCACTTCTGCCCTTCCTCTCGGTGTCTGCAGCACTACTGCCCTTCCTCTCGGTGTCTGCACCACTTCTGCCCTTCCTCTCGGTGTCTGCAGCACTACTGCCCTTCCTCTCGGTGTCTGCACCACTACTGCCCTTCCTCTCGGTGTCTGCACCACTACTGCCCTTCCTCTCGGTGTCTGCACCACTACTGCCCTTCCTCTCCGTGTCTGAATCACTACTGCCCTTCCTCTCTGTGTCTGCACCACTACTGCCCTTCCTCTCGGTGTCTGCACCACTACTGCCCTTCCTCTCGGTGTCTGAACCACTACTGCCCTTCCTCTCGGTGTCTGCACCACTACTGCCCTTCCTCTCGGTGTCTGCACCACTACTGCCCTTCCTCTCGGTGTCTGCAGCACTACTGCCCTTCCTCTCGTGTCTGAACCACTACTGCCCTCCTCTCTGTGTCTGCACCACTACTGCCCTTCCTCTCGGTGTCTGCACCACTACTGCCCTTCCTCTCGGTGTCTGAACCACTACTCTGCCCTTCCTCTCTGTGTCTGCACCACTACTGCCCTTCCTCTCGGTGTCTGCACCACTACTGCCCTTCCTCTCGGTGTCTGCAGCACTACTGCCCTTCCTCTCGGTGTCTGCAGCACTACTGCCCTTCCTCTCTGTGTCTGCACCACTACTGCCCTTCCTCTCGGTGTCTGCACCACTACTGCCCTTCCTCTCGGTGTCTGAACCACTACTGCCCTTCCTCTCTGTGTCTGCACCACTACTGCCCTTCCTCTCGGTGTCTGCAGCACTACTGCCCTTCCTCTCGGTGTCTGCAGCACTACTGCCCTTCCTCTCGGTGTCTGCACCACTACTGCCCTTCCTCTCACTTGTCCCTGGCTTAGCCACTTAACTCTTGTTTATATCATAATAGCCGATGGTAAAATTAGTTTTGTTATACGCCGTTTTGCTTAAAGTCGCAGTTTCCAAGAACCTATTGACGACATTAGGTGAGGACTTCTTGTACTCTGTAATCCCTGATGGATACTCACTATAATGTCTGCTGAAATTGGCAATTATCAGCCATGTTCAGCCTTCGTTTCTTCACAAAATATATGGAATACTTCAACCTGGCGTCAAAAAGTTGTTGCATTCTTCCCCCTTCCCCAATAAAAAAAATTACAGATTGAAGGAAGTAATTTTTTCATTGCCAGTGATGTCAAAAAATTTATTTTTGGACCACACCTCACTCAGAAATCTCATCTAACTTAATTTATTTTGTTATTAATATATGCTTAGATTAAATTTCTCAGAGTTATGGCAAAAACTAAATTTCTCTCTGCATATTTCAGGGAACTACGGGTTGGTCCTCCTTCTGACGAAGGTTTCTTTATGGGAGCCATCGTCTCCAAGACTCAGCTGGAGAAAATTCGTGAGTACATCAACTCCGCACTCGAGGAGAGAGGAACTGTGCTATGCGGCGAGGGCATCGATGTCTGCTATGTTCCTGACGCTAACAAGAACGTGAGAAGATACAAAGTTGTTTTGTCCCAAGATGCAGTTATAATATTATATTAGTACATAAAGTAAATAACATTAGTGTGTTCCTTTATTTTACATTTTTGTTTTAAATTTAATGTATATCAGTAGTAATGTATTATTAAATCAGATCATGGAACAACGAGTCTTAACTCGCAAGTTATTGTTAACCTCATGACCATACTGGCCAGGGATTGTAGCTCCATTATTTCTGTGATTTGTTTGCAGTCGTGTTATTAGGATTTCCTGAGTCACAATGCAATATTCTTTATAATAATAATAATAATAATAATAATAATAATAATAATAATAATAATAATAATAATAATAATAATAATAATAATAATTATTATTATTATTATTATTATTATTATATTATTATTATTATTCCTTATACTATTTTTTATAATTATTATTATTATGACTAAGTTTTCAGAGACATACAAGATATTTATATTAAGTTAAATCCTTAATTCTGGTTACTACTAAATCTTAATCCAACTTCCGGGATTTCTCTGTGCCTCTCTTTCTCCTCATGTGAGGTGCCCTTCACTCAAATGAGAGGATCTTGATCCAAGGAAATTGATCTGCTCCGATGAGATTTTGCACTTCCTCTTTCCCCACGAATATAATAATTACACAGGTCAACAATGGTTTCAGTTTACGTTTATAAACGTTCGATTAATTTTGGGACGCAAACAGTTTCAGTGAAACAGAACCCAACAGTGAACGATTCTGGACACTGGTGCTGGAGAGTCGTACTGTACACGGTGCTGGAGAGTCGTACTGAACACGGTGCTGGAGAGTCGTACTGAACACGGTGCTGGAGAGTCGTACTGAACACGGTGCTGGAGAGTCGTACTGAACACGGTGCTGGAGAGTCGTACTGAACACGGTGCTGGAGAGTCGTACTGAACACGGTGCTGGAGAGTCGTACTGAACACGGTGCTGGAGAGCCGTACTGAACACGGTGCTGGAGAGTCGTACTGTACACGGTGCTGGAGAGTCGTACTGAACACGGTGCTGGAGAGTCGTACTGAACACGGTGCTGGAGAGTCGTACTGAACACTGTGCTGGAGAGTCGTACTGTACACGGTGCTGGAGAGTCGTACTGAACACGGTGCTGGAGAGTCGTACTGAACACGGTGCTGGAGAGTCGTACTGTACACGGTGCTGGAGAGTCGTACTGAACACTGTGCTGGAGAGTCGTACTGAACACGGTGCTGGAGAGTCGTACTGAACACTGTGCTGGAGAGTCGTACTGTACACGGTGCTGGAGAGTCGTACTGAACACGGTGCTGGAGAGTCGTACTGTACACGGTGCTGGAGAGTCGTACTGAACACTGTGCTGGAGAGTCGTACTGAACACGGTGCTGGAGAGTCGTACTGTACACGGTGCTGGAGAGTCGTACTGAACACGGTGCTGGAGAGTCGTACTGTACACGGTGCTGGAGAGTCGTACTGAACACGGTGCTGGAGAGTCGTACTGAACACGGTGCTGGAGAGTCGTACTGAACACTGTGCTGGAGAGTCGTACTGTACACGGTGCTGGAGAGTCGTACTGAACACGGTGCTGGAGAGTCGTACTGAACACGGTGCTGGAGAGTCGTACTGTACACGGTGCTGGAGAGTCGTACTGAACACTGTGCTGGAGAGTCGTACTGAACACGGTGCTGGAGAGTCGTACTGAACACTGTGCTGGAGAGTCGTACTGTACACGGTGCTGGAGAGTCGTACTGAACACGGTGCTGGAGAGTCGTACTGTACACGGTGCTGGAGAGTCGTACTGAACACTGTGCTGGAGAGTCGTACTGAACACGGTGCTGGAGAGTCGTACTGTACACGGTGCTGGAGAGTCGTACTGAACACGGTGCTGGAGAGTCGTACTGAACACTGTGCTGGAGAGTCGTACTGAACACGGTGCTGGAGAGTCGTACTGAACACTGTGCTGGAGAGTCGTACTGAACACGGTGCTGGAGAGTCGTACTGAACACGGTGCTGGAGAGTCGTACTGAACACGGTGCTGGAGAGTCGTACTGAACACGGTGCTGGAGAGTCGTACTGAACACGGTGCTGGAGAGTCGTACTGAACACGGTGCTGGAGAGTCGTACTGAACACTGTGCTGGAGAGCCGTACTGAACACGGTGCTGGAGAGCCGTACTGAACACGGTGCTGGAGAGTCGTACTGAACACGGTGCTGGAGAGTCGTACTGAACACGGTGCTGGAGAGTCGTACTGAACACGGTGCTGGAGAGTCGTACGGTACACGGTGCTGGAGAGTCGTACTGAACACGGTGCTGGAGAGTCGTACTGAACACTGTGCTGGAGAGTCGTACTGAACACGGTGCTGGAGAGTCGTACTGAACACGGTGCTGGAGAGTCGTACTGAACACGGTGCTGGAGAGTCGTACTGAACACGGTGCTGGAGAGTCGTACTGAACACTGTGCTGGAGAGCCGTACTGAACACGGTGCTGGAGAGCCGTACTGAACACGGTGCTGGAGAGTCGTACTGAACACGGTGCTGGAGAGTCGTACTGAACACGGTGCTGGAGAGTCGTACTGAACACGGTGCTGGAGAGTCGTACTGTACACGGTGCTGGAGAGCCGTACTGAACACGGTGCTGGAGAGTCGTACTGAACACGGTGCTGGAGAGTCGTACTGAACACGGTGCTGGAGAGTCGTACTGAACACGGTGCTGGAGAGTCGTACTGAACACTGTGCTGGAGAGCCGTACTGAACACGGTGCTGGAGAGCCGTACTGAACACGGTGCTGGAGAGTCGTACTGAACACGGTGCTGGAGAGTCGTACTGAACACGGTGCTGGAGAGTCGTACTGAACACTGTGCTGGAGAGCCGTACTGAACACGGTGCTGGAGAGCCGTACTGAACACGGTGCTGGAGAGTCGTACTGAACACTGTGCTGGAGAGCCGTACTGAACACGGTGCTGGAGAGCCGTACTGAACACGGTGTTGGAGAGTCGTACTGAACACGGTGCTGGAGAGTCGTACTGAACACGGTGCTGGAGAGTCGTACTGAACACGGTGCTGGAGAGTCGTACGGTACACGGTGCTGGAGAGTCGTACTGAACACGGTGCTGGAGAGTCGTACTGAACACTGTGCTGGAGAGTCGTACTGAACACGGTGCTGGAGAGTCGTACTGAACACGGTGCTGGAGAGTCGTACTGAACACGGTGCTGGAGAGTCGTACTGAACACGGTGCTGGAGAGTCGTACTGAACACTGTGCTGGAGAGCCGTACTGAACACGGTGCTGGAGAGCCGTACTGAACACGGTGCTGGAGAGTCGTACTGAACACGGTGCTGGAGAGTCGTACTGAACACGGTGCTGGAGAGTCGTACTGAACACGGTGCTGGAGAGTCGTACTGTACACGGTGCTGGAGAGCCGTACTGAACACGGTGCTGGAGAGTCGTACTGAACACGGTGCTGGAGAGTCGTACTGAACACGGTGCTGGAGAGTCGTACTGAACACGGTGCTGGAGAGTCGTACTGAACACTGTGCTGGAGAGCCGTACTGAACACGGTGCTGGAGAGCCGTACTGAACACGGTGCTGGAGAGTCGTACTGAACACGGTGCTGGAGAGTCGTACTGAACACGGTGCTGGAGAGTCGTACTGAACACTGTGCTGGAGAGCCGTACTGAACACGGTGCTGGAGAGCCGTACTGAACACGGTGCTGGAGAGTCGTACTGAACACTGTGCTGGAGAGCCGTACTGAACACGGTGCTGGAGAGCCGTACTGAACACGGTGTTGGAGAGTCGTACTGAACACGGTGCTGGAGAGTCGTACTGAACACGGTGCTGGAGAGTCGTACTGAACACGGTGCTGGAGAGTCGTACTGAACACGGTGCTGGAGAGCCGTACTGAACACGGTGCTGAAGAGTCGTACAGAACACGGTGCTGGAGAGCCGTACTGAACACGGTGCTGGAGAGCCGTACTGAACACGGTGCTGGAGAGTCGTACTGAACACGGTGCTGGAGAGCCGTACTGAACACGGTGCTGGAGAGTCGTACTGAACACGGTGCTGGAGAGTCGTACTGAACACGGTGCTGGAGAGTCGTACTGAACACGGTGCTGGAGAGCCGTACTGAACACGGTGCTGGAGAGTCGTACTGAACACGGTACTTGAGAGCCGTACTGAACACGGTGCTGGAGAGTCGTACTGAGCACGGTACTTGAGAGCCGTACTGAACACGGTGCTGGAGAGTCGTACTGAACACGGTGCTGGAGAGCCGTACTGAACACGGTGCTGGAGAGCCGTACTGAACACGGTACTTGAGAGCCGTACTGAACACGGTGCTGGAGAGTCGTACTGAACACGGTACTTGAGGGCCGTACTGAACACGGTGCTGGAGAGTCGTACTGAACACGGTGCTGGAGAGCCGTACTGAACACGGTACTTGAGAGCCGTACTGAACACGGTGCTGGAGAGTCGTACTGAACACGGTACTTGAGAGCCGTACTGAACACGGTGCTGGAGAGTCGTACTGAACACGGTGCTGGAGAGTCGTACTGAACACGGTACTTGAGAGCCGTACTGAACACGGTGCTGGAGAGTCGTACTGAACACGGTGCTGGAGAGCCGTACTGAACACGGTACTTGAGAGCCGTACTGAACACGGTACTTGAGAGCCGTACTGAACACGGTACTTGAGAGCCGTACTGAACACGGTACTTGAGAGCCGTACTGAACACGGTACTTGAGAGCCGTACTGAACACGGTACTTGAGAGCCGTACTGAACACGGTACTTGAGAGCCGTACTGAACACGGTACTTGAGAGCCGTACTGAACACGGTACTTGAGAGTCGTACTGAACACGGTGCTGGAGAGCCGTACTGAACACGGTGCTGGAGAGCCGTACTGAACACGGTACTTGAGAGCCGTACTGAACACGGTGCTGGATGCAGTGATGTAAATATGTTTGTATAACTATAGGAAAGATTCATTTCCGGCATTGCATACATCACACATAATAGCTATGAATAATATAATACCAGTGATTGTTTGGTAATAAAATATTTACCATAAGATTTCGCAGAAAAAGCTTGTGTGACAGTGACAAAGAAAATTCAGATTCGTGATACGCGCATGAATGCTAGCTTTCGTTAACTATTTTGGTTTCTGAACTGAATGAAAAGTTTAATTTTATTGGTTAGTATTATTTCTGCCTTCCTTTCTGTATTACTATTGCTTTAATCTTATTCTATACATATAAAATCTGGCTTCACTTGAAGACACGTTCAATTTTTCGACTTTCGACCTACAACCTTACAACCTTCCCGATCAAAGCCATAATGTAGCTTAAACGTAGTGCCTTCAGCACTACATTTGAACTCTGCCCGAAATTAAACTTGGGTTTAATTTCGGGCAGAGGGAGATGTACCGGTATGTCTCTTTACACCTTTGTAAAAAAAATCAAATTCGCGATTTTGGTTGTTTTCTGACAGGGATTCTTCATGAGGCCAACGGTGATCAGCGGGCTTCAGGCAGACAGCCGTTGTCTTAAAGAGGAGATCGCGGGACCAGTAGTGTGTGTAGTGCCCTTCAGCACCGAGGCCGAGGCTGTGAGTCTCGTTAACAAAACCTGTCTCAGTCAGGGTGCCTCCATCTGGACCTCCAACCTCGTTGTGGCACACCGCCTCGCCCACAGACTCAAGGTGAGAGTGCAAGATTTATTTGCATAGCAGTGCAAATAAATCTGCAGTGAATACAGTAAACGGAAGGTTCACAAATTTTATAAGCGTTACAAGAAGTTTGGGAAGTGAAATATAGGTTTTAGGTGCGTTTCCTCCTTAGAAACTTACTCATACGTACCTATTTATCCAACAGTAAATAGGTACCTGCTGTAGGTGGCAATTTGGGGGTTGGTATTATAACTTACCTAGTCCAAAGATTTTATATGGGATGAGGTAGGATAATATCTCTTAATTTAGCTGTGTAAAAAAATGATCTCATTGGTCACCATCAAGAGACATTATTGCAGTAACGAGAATTTTAATGCATATTGATATTGTTGCTGAAATCTGTGAATATTTTATTTTTCAAGTTATAAAGTAAATGTGGATAATTACAAATGTGTGAGCAATTATCCATTGAGTGTTACTCTGCAACAAAATAAACCTTGGGTTAACTAATATACTTTGACAGATCAGTGCAAGGCGTTTTATTGTCTTTCCAAGGGTTTTTATTGTTCTTTGTCAGGCTGGAGGTTTATTCAAAGAATTAATAATCTAAGAGGCACTTGTGGCACTCCGAATGAGACAGATAACTAGCCTGCTGGTCGTTGCTTAATATCATTGTGCTGTAGTAGTTAATCTTAGTTGATTATGCAAATATCTGCAACACTTTTGCAGGATATTTCCATCAAATAATGTGAAATGAGGGATGATGCAAGAACCATCCACAATATACTTCGATGGAACATTTAATGATCTGAAAATTGCTAGTTTTGGTATGTCATTAGCCTTTTAAGTTATTACTTAGATATAATGGATGTGATGGCAGCTGCGCTTGTCTCCTGATGAGTCCATCAAGCAGCAATACATTTTCCCCTATCTGCTTATTTAATGATGTATTAGTATCATTATACTCACCTACCCATCACTTTATCCATCTAATTCATCAATCTATCTACTAATCAATTTATAAATATACCCATAAACTTATTCATCCTCATTCTTCATTCACCCAGTCAATTCTCTATCCATCTACTCCTCTGTTTATCCTTCTACCCATCTGTCTCTTTGATTTGCACCAATTTATTAACTCTTGCATTCAACCATTTGCTAATCACTACATCTCCCTTCTTATCTATTCATCTACACATCTTCCGATCTCGTCTATTAAATATGAATTCACCCAACCATCCAATCAGACACGTTATACATAATACATTATCTAGCCTTGCTGGTGCCTTGTATCACAGGTGAGGAAGGTGTGGACGAACTGCTGGTCGTCTTCTGAGCTCGATGCTCCGTCAGAGATGGAGACTGACAGCGGGAAGGCAGCGCTGGCCGCCAGGGATGACCTCGAGTTCTTCACATTACCCAAGACAGTTACCACCATGGTCCTTCACGAGGAAGAGGGGGAAGAACTGGATTTTTACTAAATTTCGAACCAATTGACGAGTTTTCAAAGATGCTGGACAAGTTTCATGGAGGGCGACTTCTGTTACTATAGGGATTTTGATTCAAAGAATTGTAGCTGAACGTTGCATAACAATGTTGTAAATATTATAATCATTCACCTACTGGAGTGGAGATGTAACTAAGTTTGATCCAAAGAAAGGAATGGAAAGATCTTTTTTCGCTTACTGAAAATCCCTCCACCTTTAAGACACTACTCCATGTCCTCCCTCCCTTCATGTAAGGTTCCTTCTCATGGATCAAAACTGATTACCTTCCATTCCCCAGTTGTTATATAACCCCTACGTGCTTGATGCTTCCTTGTGAATATAAATAATAATAATAATAATAATAATAATAATAATAATAAATAATAATAATAATAATATTATTATTATTATTATTATTAATATTATTATTATTATTATTATTATTATTTATTATTATTATTATTATTATTATTATTATTATTATTATTATTATCATTATTATTATTACCATTATTATTATTATTATTATTATTATTATTATTATTATTATTATTATTATTATTAATTACTACTATTATCATTATTATTATTACCATTATTATTATTATTATTATTATTATTATTTATTATTAATATTTTATTATTATTATTATTATTATTATTATTATTATTATTATTATTATTATTATTATTATTATTATTATTATTATTATTAGGCAGTATCCCTTATGTAATTAATGAAAATACTGTCATGTCAGCACCTTATTAGTTATTTGAGCTGCATGCGTCACATGGCTGTTGAAAAATTGAAGGATCACTAGCTTTACAAGATTTTATTATATAATTTTATTAAATTGTCCATTTTTGGTCAGTTATTAAGTGTTTATATTAGTTATAATTGCTAGTTGTACTAACTCTGCATCACTGTGTTCTGATACAGTGGCCGAAACGGTGTTTATCCTCTCAGTTTATGCCCTCTATAAGGATTGGTATTATTTTCTTTAAATAATCCTAGCTTTTAGATACCTCTCTCTCTCTCTCTCTCTCTCTCTCTCTCTCACTCTCTCTCTCTCTCTCTCTCTCTCTCTCTCTCTATCTCTCTCTCTTCTCTCCTTTCTTTATCTCTCTATATCTCTCTCTTACCTCTCCATATACTGAAACACCCACGACGGTATAATATATATTATCTATTAATTTTAAATGGAAGGAAGTGTGTTAAGTCTCAAACCAAAATTACTATGGAATACAGTGGACCCCCGGTTAACGAACTTTTTTCATTCCAGTAGTATGTTCAGGTGCCAGTACTGGCCGAATTTTTTCCCATAAGGAATATTGTGAAGTAGATTAGTCCATTTCAGACCCCCAAACATACACGTACAAACGCACTTACATAAATACACTTACATAATTGGCAGCATTTGGAGGTGATCGTTAACCGGGGGTCCACTGTATATACATTTTGGACACAACAAAATTTGTGAGATTTTTAATGTATTTGAAATTGATGTCTCAAAATTTTGTTTCCCTGGTGATAATTCGATAACTTTTGTGCAGAACTTAGCTGTTTCCTGCCAAGAAAGGATGAATTTGAGAAGGGAACCATATTCTTCATCACTCGTTCTCTTTCCGTCCCATATATCCACATGCTGATGTCTTATAAGACATCCAACTACATCGTTGTCACTCGCTTTTCGCAACATCGTATTAGCCACCGAAGTCCAGGTATCTGTTTGTCTTTCTGGATCCATAGCTAATATCTTTCTCATATACCAACACTATGTCAAATCTCCCTTCAAAAATACAAATGGTTCTATTTACTCGTACCTACTATGTTCCCCCAGTATTTTCAATCCTTGTCACATCATCTCCTCCAGACATTCCTGCCATCATTTCCTCTGATGTGGAATCATTTTCCATTTACTCAAGATTTATACATTAGTTTAATCAGTATTTATTACTTATTTTTTTTGCTACATGACAACTTCCCTTTAATACGCCGAATAGTAATTTTCGTACTTCTATTGTTTATTCTAATTTCTTCACATCTCATTCTCTCCACAAGATTCCCGCCTTCCTGCTGCAACATTCAAAGATCATGCCTCATTCCCAAATAAATGTGCATGCAAACCATACCCGGCCGGGATTGAACTCGCGGTCAGAGAGTCTCAAAACTCCAGCCCGTCGCGTTAGCCACTAGACCAGCTAGCCACAATAAGATTCCTCCAACTAGGTATATTTCTACACCATAGGAAAGTTAGCACAGGCACCTCTGTGACCACAAATGCAAGTTTTTACAGACGAATCTCCAGCTAGCGTGGCCGTGACGAACTCTAGCTCAAGTCCCTTCACTGCCGTCAACATGACTCACGAAATCGTAATGACACGATTGCAAACAAACCATACCCCCGGCCGGGATTGAACCCGCGGTCAGAGAGTCTCAAAACTCCAGCCCGTCGCGTTAGCTATTGTGGCTAGCTGGTCTAGTGGCTAACGCGACGGGCTGGAGTTTTGAGACTCTCTGACCGCGGGTTCAATCCCGGCCGGGGGTATGGTTTGTTTGCAATCGTGTCATTACGATTTCTTGAGTCAATGTGTATCACCAATCTGGGAATTATTCCCTTTACAGACTCCCTTAGCAAATTTCCTACTACTAAATCCTCAAAAATCATGCAAATTTTCTCAGACTTTTCTTCTAACATTAACAATACAAAATATCAATAAAGATTCACTTCCTCATTTCTTTTTTCAAGTATGAACTCCAATTATTTATTAAGTGAATTCTACTTACCATCTTACGTTCCTCCTCATCTGTGTTTTTCTCAAATTGACATAATTTACACGTACTTCAAATTGACATAATTTACACGTACTTCAAATTGACATAATTTACACGTACTTCAAATTGACATAATTTACACGTACTTCAAATTGACATAATTTACACGTACTTCAAATTGACATAATTTACACGTACTTCAAATTGACATAATTTACACGTACTTCAAATTGACATAATTTACACGTACTTCAAATTGACATAATTTACACGTACTTCAAATTGACATAATTTACACGTACTTCAAATTGACATAATTTACACGTACTTCAAATTGACATAATTTACACGTACTTCAAATTGACATAATTTACACGTACTTCAAATTGACATAATTTACACGTACTTCAAATTGACATAATTTACACGTACTTCAAATTCATGGAACTGTACTTGTAAAGTTCTCCAGGAAGAGCAAAGCCATTACAAAAATCACTTATGGAAACACTCACTTTATTTCAAGATTATCGTCATGAATGACGGTCCATTTGACTGTTGGTATATACACTCTTTCATATTTTTTTTGAGGGGGGTAGGGGGCGGGTTGCAACTTTCAATAACTTACCTCACATTCAACATACATAACTGAACAATTATCCCATACATATACAACATTTCCCATACATTTTCGACAAGTTCGCACATACGAAACATTTGCAACAATTTACGACATATTCTATATATCTGAAAAAAAAATCTAACTTAAACATTAACAATTTAAAATATATTCCATAAATTTTCAAGACCCTGCCACAGGCTCTGGTGGCCTGGTGGTTAACGCTCTGGCTTCACACGGTGAGGGCTTGGGTTCGATTCCCAGCCAGAGTAGAAACATTGGACGTGTTTCTTTCCACCTGTTGTCTATGTTCCCCATCAGTAAAATGGGTACCTGGGTGTTAGTCGACTGGTGTGGGTCGCATCCTGGGACACTGACCTAAGGAGGCCTAGTCACAGACCGGGCCGCGGGGGCGTTGACCCCCGGAACTCTCTCCAGGTAAACATATTCCACACGTCTGCACCAGCTGCCACGAGACGCGTCGCCCTGTGCGAGTGGCTGTCAAAATGTGTAGAGTGATGTTGAATTTTCTTATTTAGGTGAAGTTCTATAGTGTGAATATAAAGGTAATTCTGATAGTGTTTAAGACCTCAAAATAACTGATAGTTAACAATTTATTGTTTTATTACCTTAAAAAATAAGGATAAGTATTTTTTTGCAATATTTCGTGTGGGTAAATGTGTTTGTTTGTTTGTTTGCTTGTTTGTATGCGTGTGTGTATGTGTGTACTCGCCTAGTTGTACTCACCTAGTTGAGGTTGCGGGGGTCGAGTCCGAGCTCCTGGCCCCGCCTCTTCACTGATCGCTACTAGGTCACTCTCTCTGAACCGTGAGCTTTATCATACCTTTGCTTAAAGCTATGTATGGATCCTGCCTCCACTACATCGCTTCCCAAACTATTCCACTTACTGACTACTCTGTGGCTGAAGAAATACTTCCTAACATCCCTGTGATTCATCTGTGTTTTCAGCTTCCAACTGTGTCCCCTTGTTACTGTGTCCAGTCTCTGGAACATCCTATCTTTGTCCACCTCGTCAATTCCTCTCAGTATTTTGTATGTCGTTATCATGTCCCCCCTATCTCTCCTGTCCTCCAGTGTCATCAGGTTGATTTCCCTTAACCTCTCCTCGTAGGGCATACCTCTTAGCTCTGGGACTAGTCTTGTTGCAAACCTTTGCACTTTCTCTAGTTTCTTTACGTGCTTGGCTAGGTATGGGTTCCAAACTGGCGCCGCATACTCCAATATGGGCCTAACGTACACGGTGTACAGGGTCCTGAACGATTCCTTATTAAGATGTCGGAATGCTGTTCTGAGGTTTGCTAGGCGCCCATATGCTGCAGCAGTTATTTGATTGATGTGCGCTTCAGGAGATGTGCCTGGTGTTATACTCACCCCAAGATCTTTTTCCTTGAGTGAGGTTTGTAATCTCTGGCCCCCTAGACTGTACTCCGTCTGCGGTCTTCTTTGCCCTTCCCCAATCTTCATGACTTTGCACTTGGTGGGATTGAACTCCAGGAGCCAATTGCTGGACCGGGTCTGCAGCCTGTCCAGATCCCTTTGTAGTTCTGCCTGGTCTTCGATCGAGTGAATTCTTCTCATCAACTTCACGTCATCTGCAAACAGGGACACCTCAGAGTCTATTCCTTCCGTCATGTCGTTCACAAATACCAGAAACAGCACTGGTCCTAGGACTGACCCCTGTGGGACCTCGCTGGTCACAGGTGCCCACTCTGACACCTCGCCATGTACCATGACTCGCTGCTGTCTTCCTGACAAGTTTTCCCTGATCCATTGTAGTGCCTTCCCTGTTATCCCTGCTTGGTCCTCCAGTTTTTGCACCAATCTCTTGCGTAGAACTGTGTCAAACGCCTTCTTGCAGTCCAAGAATATGCAATCCACCCACCCCTCTCTCTCTTGTCTTTCTGCTGTCACCATGTCATAGAAC